AAGATAGAAATCAACTAAAAAGGTTAAAAATGAATGACCAGGAAGCGAAAAATGCATCTATTTTTGTAAGTCTTTGTTTAAATCATGAAAATTGCTTTAAAAGATACATTACGATAAAAAACAAATACACAAAATTACATTTACATAAAGAATACAATCTCTTTTAAAATAAAAAATAAGAATATACTAATAAAATCTATGATTTATAATAAACTTTTAAAATTTTGACAATTTAATTAATATATATTTAAAACATTTATTTTCGTAAACAAATAATATATATTCTTAAAACAATGCTAGAAATCTCAAAACGTAACAAACAGTGAATAATACAATTTCTGAAACATTTTAACAGAATACTCTAGAACTTTATTTTGCTTAATCAGCGTATTTTTTGAACCAATAGAATTAGTTTGTTCCTTAATTTGGCGGGTTTTCAGTGTTCACAAATATTTTTTTTATTCTTTCGCAGAAAGATGTTTTGAGAACATTCAAGTTTTTTATGTTTCCATGTATGTCCGTAAAACGAAATTTTTTTGTTTCGTACATAAACTTAAATGTTAAAGAGATGCAAGGTTGCATCTCTTTCTTTTTCTACAAATACTCTTATGGTTAATGCTCAAACAAGCTATCATCTCTATTATGATAAACCAAAACTCATTTTTGCTCGGCTTCTTATTCAATAAGTTGCATCCTTTTACTGTGTCTATCTTTTTATGCTTTAAAAACTCATTGGGCTGCGTGTACCACCGGTGGTACACGCCGCCCAATGAGACAGTCTAGTATGTACCACCGGTGGTACACGCCGGCGTGAACGTGTTAATCTAGTTTTTTTCCTTGCACAACAAAAAAACCATAAACTCTTATCCATCTTCATGTATTCCTTTTTTATACAACCTATAACTATTCAAGTCTTCAGTTAACTGTTTCCTAGCTTTTTAACCCTATCCTCTATTTCAAAGTAACTCATAACATAATAGTGGTTGTTTTCAACCTTGTTGTAAGTAAATTAGAGTATAAAAGTATATAAATATATGCCAGTATTTAATAAAAAATAAATGTAAGTATAAAATTATAATATATAAAGTATTACATGTTTTTTTCTAGCCATGACTATCAACCCTTCTAAATCTTAAAATTGTGCTGGGGCCGGGTTTGCAAAAAGTCTCATTTTTAGCCAGGGCAAGGGCCCTAGCCCTTACTATCGATTTATATTTCTTTAACTATATATACTTAAATATTTTTGGAGAAAAAATTTTTTGAATAGAAGTAAAATAATTAATTTTTTTTAATTTAAGTTATGGTTTAATGTTTGCAATTGAAAATTTCTACTTAAATAACTATTTTCAAGAAACAAAAAATAATTAACTATTCAAAATGTTTAAGGTTTAAATAAAAATTTCTTCCTCATTTGCACTATGATCTAAATCTGATATTGTTACTGTAGCTAGATCTGCATTTAAGTTTCAGAAATGCTCCTCGTCACTGGGTATTACGGACATCATTGCAATTAAATTTATAAGTATTGAGCATTAAAGTTCTTTCAATTTTTTCTAATTTTTTTTTTTATATTTTAAATTTTAATTGCAAAATTATTTGAATAAGAAAATTTTTTGTTCAAATAGATTTCTTTTTTCAAATAAACAACCTAAAAACAACCAACTTAATCTTGATATCGCTTTAAACAAAATGAAAACATTAAAAAAAGTTTTTAATTTTTTATTTGAGATTACTAGTTAAAATAATTTTTATATTAGGTAGATAAAAGCTTATTATGTGTTAACAACATATAAGGTATAAATAAAAAGATTTGTATGGCTATTTTATGTGAATCTTTGATATTAAGTAATTTGTTTAGTAACTTATTTGATTGTTGATTTAGTTTAAAGGTAAATTTACTGTGATGTACTTTTATCCATTAAGTATATCAAACTAAACATAGTTTTAAAATATTATTAGATTCTACGCTGAGATTTTAAAGTAGTTTAAGTTCAAAAGTGCTTTATGTTGCTTGCAATCTCTGCGTAAGATAGCAAGTGATCATAGTTCTATTCAAAATATAAATTTCTTAGACAGATCTTTTATGCACCCAGCGTCTTGTAGAAGACTTCCTAAGCAAAGACTCAAGGGGTAAACAGATTCTATTTGTTGACCAGCTTTGCACCAATTCTTTATCAATTAGGCTGGCACAGATGTATTTATAATACTTTGTTCCCAGTTTAGGATGTTGAATGCTGGATATTCTTGACTCATTGCATGGGTTTTGCTTAATACTCTGTTTTTATGACTAGTTAAATCATTCTATTATCTTCTCTTCCAGTAACTTTCAACTCTAATAGTGGTTAAAAAAAATTATATATATATATATATATATATATATATATACACATATATGTATAAATATACATATATATATATATATATATATACATATATATATATATATATATATATATATATACACACACATAAATATATATATATATATATACACATAAATATATATATATATATATATATATATACACATAAATATATATAATATATATATATATATATATATATATATATATATATAGCTATATATATATATATATATATATATATATATATATATATACCCCAGCAGCAGGCTATTTCAGTATGACGTCAGATTGCTTACCTTAGTATGCAATACTATTTGTATATAATATATATATATATATATATATAATATATATATATATATATATCTATATATATATATATATATATATATATATATATATATATATATATATATATATATATATATATATATATATATATATATGTATATATATATAGTATATATATATATATATAGGTATATATATATATATATATATATATATATATAGTATATATATATATATATATATATATATATATATATATATATATATATATATATATACCCCAGCAGCAGGCTATTTCAGTATGACGTCAGATTGCTTTACCTTAGTATGCAATACTATTTGTATATAATATATATATATATATATATATATATATATATATATATATATATATATATATATATATATACTATATATATATATATATATATATATATATATATATATATATATATATATATATATATATATAATGCTTAACACATTAGCCTAATATGAATTTGATGTCATAAAATTCTCTTTATCTTTTTATTTTTTTAATGACATTAACTTTTTTAAATTACTGCGATAATATTAAATAAACCAAAGCAATTAAATATTGTTTAAGTTGTTTTTTATTATTACGATTAGGAAATGTTTATTACCTTTCATTTCTTTAATATTAAATAATTCAATTTAATATTACATTAAAAAAAAAAAAATTATATAAACAAATTGTTTTTCTAGACATTTGCATAAATGAATTAAAATATGTTAAACTTTTTAAAATGATTATTTCTTAAATAATTATTTTGAAAAATTTGCAACTAAAAATAATTTTTTATTATAAAAAAATTAGCAAGTAATAAATAAAAAAGTTACATTAATTTATCTACTCTATTTATTAAAAGTTTATTATTTTATTAGTGATTTTGTTTTGAAAGCAATGATTATTTTTCCAAACACACTTTGTTAAAATTATATCGTTGTATATATCTTTTAATAAAAATTAATTGCATTGCTATACTTGCGTTAAAAAGATAAGTTAAACTTAGGTTTTGTGCAAATTTTTGACATAACCTTGGAACATGTTTATTTAATATTTAATTTTGAGTAAAAAAAAATGTTTAGGAAAGAAAACCGAAAAAACAATTGCAACAAAAATTAGCAATTTTTTTTTTTTAAGAATAAATAAAATTTAGATATTGAACAATATTTAGTAACATTTTTTAATAAATTTGACAGTTAAGTTAAATCAAAGCATTAACTTTAATTTTAATAAATTTAATATTTTTTTAATCAGAATTAATATATATATTTTAAATCGCAATTAAATTATGTTGTTTTATCAGAATAGAACTTAACTTAACTTAGTTTGGAATTAAATCATATATTTTTTTTATCAGAATTAAATTCAAGCTTTAAGTATTAGCGTTTTTCAAGCGAAAAAATCGATCATTACAATAAATAAAATAAATTAATTATAAACTATAAATTTAAGTATGTTTTTTTAATGCAATTAGTGATTTCGCCGGTTATACGGTTTTGCGGTTAACCGGATTTTTGTTTGAATATCAAATATCTATTTTCGAATAATAAAAACCGGCTTTTACAAAATTTATAGAAAGTAACAACTTACTTATGACGATTATTATTTGACAAATGCTAATTTATCAAAGATTATAATAAATTTCTTTTATTAAATTTAAAATGTTAATTTAATCAGTTTTGTTTAATAAAATATTCTTAAAACAATTTACAAAAGAAATCTCAAAGATTTATTTATTACTTTTGCAACTCAAACAATACATTTTTAAGAAAGTTTCTTTGGAATATTCTGGAACTTCAATTTGCTTGTTCAGCGTATTTTTTGAACCAATAAAAATCATTTATGCGAAGATTTGGCAGTAATTTAGGGTTATCAAATATTCTTTATATTATCTTTCCGCAACAAGATGTTTTGAGAACATTCAAGTTTATCCATGTTTCCATCTATGTCCGCATAACAATGAGTTTTTGCTAAAAAAATTAACTTTATAATATCTATCAAATGTTTTTATATGAGAGAATGCTTTTGAAACATCCGCTGATATTTAAACATTTTGATAAAAAAATTGCAAGGCTTATAGTTAAGTTATGTAGCTATGTAACAAGGTTTTTTGTTTAGAGTAGTACTAGTCTTAAAAAGAATATCGTGTGGAAGTTTTTTAAATAAGTTGACAATAATTTTTCTGTGTGCAGTGTGTGTGGTGAGACAATATCATGCAAAGGAGGAAGTACATTTGCAATGCAGAATCATCTAAAATTGCGTCATGCTTCTAATCTGGTTGTTGCTGGAAGATCTGGTGCAGGTTCCTCAAAAAGTGCTAGTAATACCTTAATAAGTAGGTATTTTAACACAACAACTGTGGTTATGAACGGTGCCAAAAAAGAGGAATACCGCAACAAGTTTGCAATGATGTGCGTTCAGGATCTACGTCCTATCAATTTTGTATTAGGGAGAAGATTTCGTGCAGTGGCACAATTTTTGTATCCAGGTTGGAGCCAATTTTTTTATTAATTAATTTTATATATATATATATATATATATTATATATATATATATATATATATATGTATATAAAAACAGTGCACAAAGTGAGGTGGGATGCCATCCTGTCACCTATACATATATATATATATATATGTAAAATTGCATAGTAGATATCAGACCGTTCTAATAATAGCTTTTTGTAATGTTATTAACATTTTGAATTGTCACTAACACTTTAAAATTAATGCAAATAAAATATCTGGCTATATTAATATGATAATTTCCATTACTTCTATAACTTTATTACATTATTTACATTTTATTTACAGGTGCTCCACCAATAGGATACACATCAATTGTCTCACGAATAGCTTTGCAATTTGAGGCAAGAAAGGCTGCCAAATTTTGCAGAAGTTCAGAAAAATTATGGGACAACTAAACATATCCTTGTCTCACAACAAATGGCTGGACATCGAATTCTAATGAAAGCTTCATAGCTATTTCAATTCATTTAATTGACAAGAACTGGAACTTTGTCAGTTATGTTATAAATTTGATTCACTCCCAGGCCTCGACGGGAAGCGAGAGCTTTAGCTCTCGCTCTCGCCCACACTCCCCTAAAACAGTTTACAGGAGCAATTTACAGCTCTTGCAAAAGTATAATTTTTCTCATGAAGGTATAATTAAAATTACAAAAGAGTGCTAATTTAAATGAGGAGCAGCTCGCACAGCTCCCCAAATTCGTTTTAGGAGAGCTTTTCTCAGCTCTCGTGCTCATTTGTTTCGGCCAAGGCCTGCACTCCCATGAGCGTCACACAAGCGTCAACCTTCAAACAAGTTTGGAGGCTGCAATGGATGCCTGGCATATTCCAGGAGCTTTTGCAGTGGTGTCAGACAATGCCACAAACATTGTGCTGGCACTAACTTCAAGCAAACGAGTGCAGCATATGGTACGGTGTGTTGTTCATACAAGCCAATTGGTCATTAATGACAGCATCAATGCTATCCAGACAGTTAGAAGTGCGCTGGCAGCCATCAGAAGAGTGGCACAGTTCTTCAGAAGTT